TATGGTGATTCATAACTAAGCGGACTACAGGATCTTCTGTCATTTCTCACCGAGATAATTGAAGTACCACAGAGCTTCCTATGACGACAGAAACTCGGAGAGGATTCACGTAACCTCCAATCAGTTTTTGACAGCACGAGTTCTACTCAAAAACAAGTTGGTCTGTTTAGAGATGAATGTTGCTTTGGCTTAAGAAAAGATACGGGTTGGTGCTAGTTTTAATGTGTGTGTACATTTTGATTCTGTTCTGCTTTGCGTTTTAGAAACATGGAAATACAATTGAGATAACGAGCCTTAAATAATATAATGGTTTACCCCAGACTTAAAGGTTCAGTGATTCTTACAGGCTAAAAGGCTCCTCATAGACTTTGAAGATGTGCCGTTCTGTACGGATCGTCGCTCTCGCTTTGAAAGACTCAACAGGCAGTGAACACTACGAGTGTTTTGAAGACGCCGCGCTGTTTCTGTGACCTCCATTTGGCAGTTTAACGCTGCACCTCGCAATTGCTTTGGTGGTGGGTTCAAATAAAAGATGCAAAAGAGGGGGATGAATCACTCACAAAAATAATTTTTGTCGATTTTTTTTTTTTTTTTTTTTTTTTTTTTGTACAATCTGTGAAATTTAAACATTGTTTCCTTGTTTTAAAAGGTTTATATGCAAAAATGTTTTCAAGTTTTGACAATGTTCTTATGTAACAAATAAAACCTATTTTGATACCTCTCTTCTCTTTGCATTGATGTGTGGGCATTGTTGTGCATTCGAATGCCACAAGGAGGAGAACTTGTGCCATGGTAGATGGTTTGAATACTAGCAGTGGCAGACTTGATCAAAAGAAAGAAGGAAAATATTTTATGAATAAATGGATGGATAAAGACCCCAGGGACCCATTGAATATGTGTCAGTTTGTATGTATAGAAGTAAAATCAATCATGAGCTTGTACAAAGTTTAGAAACACCTTTATTTTATGTGCTAAGTTATAGAAGGAAACTCAAATTTCCCATACTATTTTGTGACACAAAACTACACATGCACACTAAAATATATTTGCATCTTAACTGCAGCACAAGTGCCTCAAATCTCACTGTTGTTGTATTTATGTCCTTCTTTTTCCAATGTTTTCAACAAGTGACATTATACATTATATCTACAGGTTTTCTATATGTTTACAAATTGATAGATATACCAACCCACATTTGAGCCTGTGCATAATTGGCATGATTTATATCCCACCACATATTCTAATAAGAGGAATTTATATGATGTGCGACTGTAGCTTTTTATTTCATTCCAAAGGCTGGGTAGTTGTGGAAAAATGAGCACGACTCAGTGAACACACTGAATATATAAACACGATCCATCACACAGTCCTTGTTGTTCTAACCCACATAATGTGTTGTAAACACTCCAAAAACAGATCTGTGTGAGTGTGTGTCTGTTGAGTTTGTAAAGTGGTCATCTGAAGAAAATAAAACCCGCTCTTCCCTCAGCACAGCCAGTCAGCTGTTCACAAATGCTTTCCAGGAAGCATTCAAAGTGTGTGTCAGTCCATGTTACCAGATGAAGGATGGCTTCCTCTTGTGACCTCTCAGCCCTCATGGACCCTGGTATCCTCTCACAGCCAAACCAGTGGTTTCTGGGGGAGGGGTTTAGCTTTTGATTGACCCAGATAAACTTTTTCCCCCCACTTTTGATAAGATTTTAAAGATATATGATCATATTGAGTGTTTTCGGGTTTAAATAAACTTCACTCCTCATTGATTACAAAGGAAATTTGTTGGGTTTTTTTGTGTTTTGGCCTGTGCTTAGTGTAATGGGTGGTCTTATTACTTCTTGCCATTTGCGCAATTCCAACCAGTTTGAAGTCCTCTCTCTTAGGAAGTGAGGTTATGGTCAGGTTTTTTTCCCTTTCCTGGCTGAACCAGCGCTTTTCCTTTTGTTGCTTTTCATCAGATCCTGGATGATCCATCTTGCCTTGACATCATCCTGGATGTGTCCCCAGATACAGAAAGGTGTGGTCCCTCATCTCTGAGTAAATCTAGTTCCCAAACAGCAGGGTGATACTCTGTGTGATTCATCAGCGGCAGGCAGCTCCTTTATCAAAAGCAGCTCTGTTCTTCAGTTTTCCCTCACATTCTTATCCACTGTCTGTATTAAAAGGAGTATTAACTTTGCTATTTCCTACCACTTATCACTGTCTGAGTTTCTATGGAGACCCTGGTAATTTCTAAAGTCTGCTATACAATTAGGGCTCTTCTGTGGCTATGAATAGAGCTCTGTTTTGGGAAAATAACCCAAGAGATCATCAGGATTACTGTGTTTAAGACGCCAACATTGCTTGGTAAAACAGGTCTGCTTAATTTGTTTGCTTTTAAATTGCTCAAATAGTTGATTTTTGAGGGAAAAGGAAGGGAAAAATGGAAGCTAAGTAAACACTGTTTTTAATGTTTGCTGCTGCAGCCATCTTAACTCTTACAATCTTCAGTTTTTCAATCTGCTGTCAGGAGTTCCTGATAGCAGGTAGTAAGTACGGGGTACAAAGATGTGAACTTACATCACATCAATTTTCACCAAAACTCTTCTCTGAATGAAATTGTATGAAATGCTAAAAACAAAACAGGGAATTATCAAGCAAAGCTGAGTTGATATGTCAAGTTATTATCTCAAATTTCAAGTCACTTCTGAGTAAGCTGAAATTTCAAGATGCTAACCCAAAAGTTTGACATGCTTAAAATAAATAAAAATGAATCAGTGGCAGAAAGAAACCTCCACAGGGAGTAAATGTACAAGTACCATCAAAATAGGAAAACTCAACAAGGAGTTAACGACCAGCCATAAAAAGTGCAAGCACAAGATTTCATGTAAAAAGGAATAAAGGCTTTAGCTTTCAAATATTTGACATATTGGAGCCTCTGTAAGTTCGGTTGATTTGATTATTTGTATACATTTTATATATATTGTTATATCTATTTTGAAATCTTAGCACGAACCTTAAATAAAATTGATTGTTGGTATCTTTTTAGAACTCTTCATGGCATAGAGTCAGAGGATTTGGAAACACGCCTCAGAGCTTTTGGTCCGTACTGACATGATAGCATCACACAGTTTTGTCTGCTGCACGTCCATGATGAAAATCTCATGTGTCGCACAGCATCACAAAGGTACAAATGTACATGTCAGATATTTATTTTAGATATTTTAAGTACTGTGATTGAAAGAAATGTATTACAGTAAAAGAAATCTAAATTTTGAATGATATTTTTTTAACATCTGTCCTTTGTATTGGACTTTGGGTCTTGCTTAACAACAGTGATGTAATGATGCTGTTTTCATCTTCCTGTGGATTTCTGGTAAAAATTTCTTTTTGTCTCATGAACATGAAATAGATGAGGGAAGCACATCTGAACACTAAAAACATTGTTTTAAGAAATAACTTCCCACAGTCAAGCTTTTGATTAGCTGTGCTGTAAATGTAGATCACCTCAGCCACTGCTCTTACAGTGATCAGGCATGTTATGAGATCAGGAAAGGTTTTTACTTAGAAATGTGGAAATCATCTGCTCATCTATGTTTAAGAGAGGTCCTTATTAAAGACACCTGGTATGGTATTCTGCTGCTGTAGCCCATCTGCTTCAAGATTAGACTTGATGTGCATTCAGACCTGCTCTTCAACATACCTTGGTTGTAACGAGTGATTATTTGGGTTGCTGTTGCCTTCTTATCAGCTCAAAGAAGTCTGGCCATTCTCCTCTGACCTCTGGGATAAACAAGGCATTTTTGCCCAGAGAACTGCTGCTCACAAAATGTTTTCTCTTTTTCAGACCATTCTCTGTAAACCCTAGAGATGGTTGTTTGGGAAAATCCCAGTACATCAGCAGTTTCTGAAATCCTCAGATCAGCCCATCTGGCACCAGCAACAATGTTACATTCAGATTCTCTTAAATCACCTTTCTTCACCATTCTGATGCACAGTTTGAACTTCGGCTTGAGTTCCTGCCATGTGATTGGCTGATTAGACATTTATTTAACCAGCAGTTGAACAGAAATACCTAATGAAGTGAGTATATGTATTGGTTGTCAGGTAAACAGGGACATTTTCATATAGTGTGGTCCGGCAGCAGAACCACTTTAACTGGGTGTGATTGTGACTCATCACATATATTGTGTCACACTGAGTCAGATGTTTTCCATTGTTAGGCGTAATTTACCAAAAATAAATCAATAATTCATTAATTTAAATACATGCATTTGTTAAGTGGCTCCAAAGTGTAGTGGTTTATAAGCTAATGGATCCCAGGAGGAGAAACGTATTCCTTTATGGTTGCATCAAGAAGTATCCAGTGTAAAAGTCTGTCAGTTCAAACATGCAGAGCTACCTGCTGTGGCGACCCCTTGTGAAAAAAGGAGTAACTAAAATCTAAATCTAAAATAAGTGTAACTGTAAACTCATTAGGTGTTTGTTTTTCTCAGTCATTAATTAAGTGATAATGATGATTAATGAGGTGGCATGATTGTGAGCACGACAGTCACATTGGCAGGCAGCTGGAGATGATCAGCTGCTCCTGGTACAGCTCACGGGGTCACATGCCTCTCACGCCAACAAAGCCCACATAAAGTAAAATAATGAGGGACATCTCTCTCTCATTTGGCACTACAGAAAAACCTCAAGAAAGTGAAATGAGATTTATATCTGAAAAGCAGACGTTGGGCTGCGGTCTGCTGCTGCTGTGTCACGACTTCGTCAATGCTCCTGACTTTGATGTCACAGTAATTCAAAAAAAAAAAAATGCTCGATAAAGTGGAAGTGAAGTTATTAACTAAGTTCTGGTTAACTAAGGTCTGGTTTTCACACTTACACAAAAGCAGGAAACTTACCAAAAATGAGTGAAGGAAGGAAGTGGCTGCCGCCAAATGCAACACCATATATAGTTTTGTTTTGTTGGCTTTAACCCACGACTTGGCTTATTTGATACACTGCCCTCTTATTTAGTGAGACAATTGTGAATGGGGATTTGTGGCTTTATTTAGAAGCTGACAGTCAGAAATTATGGGCTGTTAAAAAAAGCCCAGAGATACCTTTCACAAAGAAGCAACTATTTACATTCAACAAGTCATGATTTCATATAAAAGGGTCATGAAGCATAAACACAGAAGATTCTAGATATAAGGCTGTGGATCATGTTATTAAAGAAAGAAAAAGAGACATTTCTGCATCCTGAAGTGTGTACATTTTATGTTCTGGGATAAAATTCCATTTTTTTCTTTTTCAAAACAAGGATTTAAAAAGTTCACATCTGGAATCTCCCTTGTGCATTTCAACAGATGTGACAGTTTTAGCTGGTGGGATTAGATAAGATGATCATTTGCCTTAACTAATATTTCTTTTTTACAAAATACAGGTTTACATATCAGAACTGCTACAGACATTTCTCTGTCTGTATAGTTTCACAGCTGCTTCAGTGTGTGTTGCCTCTTGCTTTGTACGTCTCCAGATGCTGTGTCAGATCTTGAATACGGACATCCTTCAAGTGAACCAGATGTTCCAGCTTGTTCACTTTCATCTGGAGGATCTGCAAACATACACGACCAAGAAAACCAAGAAAAGAAAAAGAAAAGAGGGATGAGGCTAAAGAGAGGATATTTCTTTGAAGGCTTCTGAAAACTTCATAGTGCGGTGAAAGGAGAAGTTGCACGTTTGTGTCATCCTTCTGCTTCTCTCTAAACATGCAGATGTGACCACAGATGGAAAAGAAAAATAAGGGTTATATCCGCTGAGCAGATACTGACTCACTCGCCACTGCTGACACAGGACATTACACATGCCTAACACACACTCCTAAATATTTTTCTCCATAACACACACACACACACACACACACACACACACACACACACACACACACACACACACACACACACACACACACACACACTTTAGCAGAGTGTTTCCTGCATTCATGCATGTCTGCATGCAGACTTTACCTCCACAGACTCCATCAAAGACATAATTGCTTTTTCTTTTTCCTTCAGCATTTGTTGGAAAGCAGGATCCATGTCTGAATAAAACTTTACTGCACGCTCCACTTTACTGTACCATAAAAAAAAGAATGGACAGGCTATTATTTTTGTTTTAAATGTTCTTGTGATTCATTGCATTATAATTAAAAGCAGTGGTTTTTTTGGTCATACCTGTTTTTTTGCCTGTTCTTTTCATCTTTTTTCAATTCCTCCAGCTGAGTTAGAAGTCTTATCTCAGTCTGTTGAATTTCTGAAGAAAAAAAGTGTCTTGTTTTACAAACTATGATGTGAACAAAACACAATGACTAAAAGAATCTATACAGCTGAGTAAAAGAGATAAGGCTTGGTGGCAGAAAGGGTGACGACCAATAGCAGAAAGAGGGTGAAATGCTGAAGTAAGATTAGTAGATAAAGGAAAAAAATATCAGGCTTTAAGTCAACGGTGCTGAGCTCAGGCCAGCGATAAGAGCCATGTGGAAACTGATACGAGAACCTGAGTCATGTGTCTGATGGCGGGAGCGAGTGTAGACGGAAGAGGAAAGAGCAGAGGGTGGAGGCACTGGCCAGCTTTGATAGGGACGGATGAGGTGTGGGAAAAAAGTTCACTCCTTTAGGGTGGTGGAATTTTCTTCTAATCAGTTCTCCCCGATTCCTTCAAATGGACGTTTCTTTGTGTTTCTGATTGGTCACTGCTATCTCTGGGATAGATTACACTTAATTTGGGCCTGAGAAGATCTTGGAGACGCTTCATTTCAGTGACAAAAACAGCGATGAACAGTCACTAAACTGCTCCCTTAAACAAAAACCAAATAAAGAGGGGGAAAAAAACACCTTGCTGAATGCTGAATATGCTGACTTGGTGTTTGGGAGTTGACCGGCAGATATAGCTGCATTAACAAAAAAAAGTCTAAAATAACACCAAACACACTTCCTGTGCTAAATAAAGCACATCTTAGCTTCAGTTTTGTTTGGCTTCAGTTAAATAAAAAACAACAGTTTCAGCTGATATTCTGCACAAACTACACTATCATTATGACACATGCTGCAACATGCATAAGGCCAATATAAAGTCATTGCATTTATCCTAATTCAGCTGTTTTATTTCCATAATCTACTTAATGTTACTGACTTCATCACAGTTTGTAACTTCCAGCAACACCTACATCACTATCGTGTGATGTGATGCAAAGCCAAATATGGCATCAAATGCAGAAGACTGTACCTTCATGAGGTTTCTCCTGGTTCCTGGTGTCATAATACTCCATATCCTAAATTTATAAAACAAAATATATATCCACTGTAGTTAGATTAACATGGACAAGCATGCAGTAATTCATATTTTGCATTCAAATAGACAAAAAAAATGACCTATACCGTGTGTGTCACTACACACCAGTATGTTGTTGGTGGTGTACTCCAGTTTCTTTTCTATCTTCTCCCTGAGGGTGCTCAGGACAGGCACTATTGCTCCTGTGGTGCTCTGTGCAATTTTCTTCAGTGTCTCCTCAGGCACATGGAAGTCCAGCTTGGAAAATACCTTCCTATCCTCATATAAATAAAAACACATGTCTCTAATACCTAGAACTATGCACAGTAGTATCAGCAGACTCGGTGTGATTTAACTGATGAGACACAACATAGGAGCCAAAATGTTTTCAGCAAATTCCCATAAATCTGAAGCTGGCTTTGTGCCATATCAGTGGCGAGGGATGGAGTGAGTGGGTGTAAGTAGGATATGTCCGCAGGACCAGATGTGGAGGCCCAGGAAAAATTTTATTTGGATGGGAAAAACATTAGGCAATGTCTGTCATTCCTATTAAGAGATATTAATTAGCCATCTAGCTTTTTAACTTTTTTGTAGCTTGTGTACAAGTTTTTGTGGCAGGCTGTTAAAATGTGATGTTTTTCAGCTGTGGAGAGTGTTTTTCTCTGGCTGGGATGTAGTCATTCAATCCACCAGATTCAGAAGAATCACACACACACAAAAACACACACACATAAAACAGTGATGTCTTGCCTGTTGAGCAGGTTCCAGTTGCTGAGCTTCTGCTGTGTGGAGTTTGCAGAAACATAGTTGTGCAGATCAACAAGCTTGGGGAAGAAATATTTTACCACCTCAGCAGCCATCACTAAGGTTCAAAGAGAAACTTAGTCAGATCACAAATAAATAAAATTACCGTAGCTGGAGACATGGAGCTATGCAGATCATATTACTCCTGCTGTTACTGCTTGATTGTTTGGTTAGCACCTCCATGAGGACTGCTAGGCTAACTTTACTACCTGCGTCGCTGAAGTCTCTTGTGATGTGTCTTTTGGGCCGGGACAGCGGTATCTTATCTATCCACGCAAACAGGTCCTGTAGTTCCTCTTCGTTCAGTTCTCGTTCCATTATTTATAAAATTACAGTAGTTTCTGAACGATTAAAACAGTCTTGATGAGCTAACCTATAGCTTCAGCCCACCTCAGGTTGTTTGAAGCGTTGCTAGGCGATCAGCTGTTAAAGGGCCAGTTCAACCCCAAATCAAAAATATAGATTTGTTTCTCTTTTGGCCAATCTTTGAGGGATTTGGGGTTTTAGGGAGTTGCAAAGTCTTTCAGTTCTAATGTTGTGTTGTTATCGGCCTTCTCTTGAATACATTCAGTCAACTTGTGTTGCTCTGGTGCTCAAAGCATCTAAAATTAAGCACGGCATCTTGCAGACATCATGACCCCCAAATCTACCCTTGAGGAGAGGCTCCTGGTAGTAATGATAACCCCTTCATCTGGAGCAAACTCACCCTGTATGCTTTAGCAGTTTCTCTCCTTTTCCATATCCATACTTCTCTCTCTCATCATTCTGGAACAAGTTCGTCTTGGTTTTGTGTTTCCATTGTTTTCTGTGACGCTTTTAGTTGGTTTGTGGGAAACTCTAATCTGGCCTTTATATTCTTGAGTGTAACCAGTGGTTTGCACCTCGTTGTAAACTCTCTGTATTTCAAATGAAGAAGGCATCTCTTTATTGCAGACCTTGACAATGATACACCTCCTCAAGAGTGTTTGCCATCTTTTGAAGTCAAGTTCTTGGAGGTTTTCTTTTCATGACCATGGAATAATTATGTCATCATGCACCTTAATTCTCTTCTGTGGTATTTCAGCCCTGTTGGTGTGGCTGAGTTGATGAGTGCATTCACCCTTTTCGTGTATCAAATTTGACTTTTTTCATTTTTTTTTTTTAAATCTCCCTGATAGGTTTGTTTAGGCTTTTAGCTGAAGGCAATCAATGTCTCTTTAGACTCTGAAAATGGGGAACTGTATAAAAATTACTATAACTGAAAGAGTTAATGCAATGGTTTCTTAAAAATCCCTTTGAATTAAAGCTGAAAGTCTGGACTCCATTCACATGTTGAATCAGGTTTTGCAGGGAAAAACTACAAAATCAATCTTTTTTTCCCCCCCCCCCAACCAATTATAGATCTAATTGAGTTTTGTTCTGACATTACGCTGCTGATAGGACAGAGCAAAAAAATCAACAGAGAGTCACAGATGTTAATATGAATATCTTCTGGATCATCTGGATATAAAGACAGAGAAAGTGACAGAAACACTGAGTGTGATGGATCACGTTTATTGCAAGCCAATAAATTAGAACATTCAGAACTGAAAGATTTAAAGACAAATCGAGGGTGAATCCTCATCATTGGTATTATGAGTGAAAGGACTTTGTGATCTTGTCTGCTGCATAGAATAATCAATATCCTTTGACATCTATCAGGTCAGCACGCAAAATAAAACAGATATATGTACTGGTTCAATTGCACAGTAAAGCATAGACAGGTCAGTACAAAGAGTTTTAAAAAAATGACAAGAAAAGACCTTCTTCAATTAAAAAAATCTACCTGTAAAGTGCTCATGCCACATTTTAAAATCCCTTAACAACCATATTTCAGAGAAATGCAGTACCAAAAAAAATGTGAGGGAAAAGGGAAAAGGAACAGTTACAGCATTGATAGTGCAGTTACCTTATAAAATCTTCACATATCCCAGGATTTAGGCAAAAAACAAACAAACCCAAAAACCAAATGTTTCCCTTTAAAAAGACTCAAATAAACTAAACAATCGTCATGGCAGCAGTGCCATTTGTCATTCATAAAGCACAGAATATGAGTCTGCTGATCATTACTTCAGGTTTTCATTAACATACTGAAGGTGTACATAAGCAGTGGTAATCCTCAAGGAGACCACAAAAGCTGTGTTGCTTAACAATGCCGATTCTTCAGCGGATCCTGTTTCTACTTTAAAACAGAAGAGCGTCTCCAGACAGGATCTTCTTGGTCCTTCTAGGTGAGACAAAAACAATGTCCCCTGTCAGAAGATTTCAGTGTTTACACCTCGATGAATTAGTCCCACTGTCATCTGGGCCTGCTGGGAGGCATCAGGGCAGCCCTCCCGCCGAGCTAGGGGAGCAGATAAATAGTATTAGCACACATACTTGGGATGAGACATTTTTATTCTCCAAACTTGGTCTTGGTGTGTTTATTTCCCCATGTTAGTGCCTCACCAACTCACTGGTGGTCAGGAGAAGTTTATATGCTTACTGATTCACTGACTGCTTGTTCATTACACTGCTATGCTAGGACAGAGCCAAAAACCACAGACATCTTCATAAACGTGATAGCCTCTGAGAATGTCTGAGTCTGAATACATACCAGCTGAGTGTGAGGCAATGAAGACAGGACTGCGGAGGGCTTTGGCTTCGCTGGAGGCATTGGGGGCTTTGGTTTCATGATCTGAGAGACAAAACAGTTCATGTTTTAAAGAAGCAGCAAACGCAAGCACTGTTAAATGTGTATACGCAAATAATGAGTTCAGTTTGAACGTTATTTACCGGCTTTGTTGTGAGTGGTGGCAGAGGTCTCGATGGAGGCAGTGGCTTACTCTGAAAAAAAGAGAAAAAAAAGTATATATATAAGACCAGAATAATGATACTAAAATAACAATTTTTAAAAATAATTACTGCCCCAAAAGACAATGAAGACATGCAGTTTTACCTCAGTAAAGATTGTCTTTCTTGAAACAGCTGGAGCCTGCGTGAATGGCTTTATAGCCTAAATAAAAACATTTATTTACTAGTTGAAACATATAAATAACATTTAAATGAAGCTGGAACCGGAGGTCAGATTACCTGCTGAAACACAGATGGCTGGGGTACGGCTGCTGCTTTCTTGGGCGGCTGTAAAGGGAGAAAATAGAAATGAGTACAGTCTAAAATGTTATTTTTTAAGCCTTATTCCTCACTGGTTTTTGACAGTTTGACTAAAATACAAGTCTGTTTATGATTTGAATTTGGTCCAATAACACAGGCCAAAATCTACTGCCACAGCACATTACGGCACTCTGGTGGCAAATCTGCTACATCACAGAAGGTGCTCACCTCTGGAGCTGCTCGGCTGGGCTTTAGTGCTCCAGTCTGTGATCTGGTAGGAGCAGAGAAGAGCGGTTTACATGCTTGAGTGGCCGACGACTCCAAAAATTTAGGCTGGCTGATTTGTGCTGATCCAAGAGGAGGCCTGCGTCGTTCGCTGCTCGACCGAAACAACGGGTTGAACTGTCCCGCGGAAGATGGGAGGTATCTGCAAGGAAATATGCACAATTGCTTAAAAGAAACTCTGACAAGCTTATAAAGTTTTATTTACTTATTGTGGTGATCCAAAAGCTAAAAGAGAGGAGGAGCTCCTTTCTGTACCTCTTCGCAGGCTGTCTCTTTCTGACGTACCACATCAAACTCCCGATAACCACGAGCAAAAGAAGAAGTAAGCCAGCCACCAGTGACACTATGAACTTAACCAGGCCTGACTCTGTACACACACACAATAACACAACAGATTAGGCCAATGAGATTTTTTTTGCCCAAGGATGAGCAAATAACAACATACGTCACCCCCCTCAGGAAGCAAACTCCTCTGTAACATAATTAGGGCGTATGTACACACTAATAAGGAAATGCCACTGCATCAGTGTCTGCTTGTATTCATCAGAACAGAGCACGATTGTTTTAAGGCCCATGAGAAATTCAATCCAAGTATTGCAGCTCAGTGGAAAACAGAGCATAAGGGTCATGTGTAAATCATGGTTATTAAAAGGGCAGGGAGAAGCGGGCTATCAGTGGGTGTATGTCAGGATAGTAGAGTACCTTGAGGCAGCTCGGACTGCTGCACATCACAGAAAGGTGGAGCCCAGCCAGGATCGCAGTGACACTTGCTCTCATGATTGCAGACCTGTAAGAGATCCCACTCATAGTACGCATGTTGTGCTGCCATAAATCCACAGTGCTTTAGAGTGCCGAGGATCTAAAGTTCTCACCCCACGGTTGTTGCATTTGGCAGAGCAGTCATTTCTTCCATACATTTTTATGTTTTTTATGTCTTGACACTGTTGATTGTAGCATACCTAAAGGACACACAAAGACTTTGCAGGAATCTGTAGCGCATGGATGTTTTCTTCATTTTAGCTACAAAGAGCAGCTTTCTCACCATGTTTTTGCCGCACTTAGTGCCAGTAGGTACCATGTCCAAATCTTCGGGGTAGTTATCTTCAGGGTTCATAGTTGCCACATTGCACATGTCTCCGTTTCCTACTTTGTAAAGGGACTTCCTGGATGTCACAGGGAACTCCCATCCGCCGGAACAAAAAAGTTGACCACAGGACTGATCTCTGTAACCGAAAACCACAAGGGATGGTTTCAAGAACAAACAGTACCTGGCAGGGAATATGTGCAATTGTAGAGCTTTGGATTGCATACCGGCCTGGGCATCTCTGGTTAAAGTGTGTCTTTCTGCAGTTTCCATGCAGATAGAAACAAGCGTCTGAAGCGACTTCAGCATCTGAAAACAATCACAGCAAAAAATACAGCTTGATGAGTCTTGATTATTAAGAATAAAGCACATCTGAAGCAAACTGTGATTCACTAGTTTCTTAACCTGGTCCCCAAAGCCTCTTGCAGTGATCCCGGCGTGAAGGACACTGTCCATTGTAGCAGTACCCTGTTCCATGGTTACACAGCAGGCCATTCTGGGTGTAGGCGTCAGTCGGACAGACAGCAGAGAAGCCGGTACAATATTCTGCCAGGTCGCAGTCTCCTGCTTTCGGTCGGCAGACGCTGCCTGTCGGTTTCAGCTACGGAGCGGAGAGGAACACAGATGGTGATGTACCGACTACTAAAATACACGCACTCACACATAACCAGCCAGACGGCACAGTCAGACTGTGTCTTGTTATATAGTAACATAATTAGTATCAGTGTGACTTCACACAGTGAGTAGTACTTACTTGGCAGTTGTGGCAGCACTCTCCCTCTCCACACTGGGCTCCTGCATTCAGTTTGCAGGTGGTGGCATTGCAGCAGGGATTCTTGCATTCCTGGCAGGCATACAGAGGCATGCACATCTCAGTCATCATTGTGTGTTTCAGTAATGGGAGTTTGGCTATACAAAACGAACGTGATATG